CAAGAATGCTAATTTGGGGTCATCGAATAGGGAGATGGCGCGCCATCCTCGTCTGTCTCTTTTGCTTTGATCTGTTACTACAGCCATGTGGGTAACAGCAATCACAGTGGATGGAGGTTCAAAGGGGGACTCAGTATGTTTTAGCCTTTTTAGCTTCTTGATCAGAACCTGGTCTCCTGGCTTGAACGTGTATGTAGGAGAGTCACCTGGGAGAGAAAGAGACTGAGATAAATCACCATAGATTAAATTTATTAACCAAATTAGCAACATATTCAAGTCTCCTGTCATGACTTGAGGACCTGTAGCTGCCCACAGGGGGGGGAAATGGTCTGCCCATTAATATCTCAAATGGTGACAATCTAGTGGTTTTATTAGGTGTCATTCGTATCTCTGCTAACACAGCATATTGGTCACGGGTCAGACCATGAGATGTCCAGAAAGTAAAGTTGCCCAGTTCGGCACATATCTGAAGGTAGATTAAGTCAGTGTTACCCACGAATGTAGAAACCATCACCATGCAGAGAGAGGAGTCTTCAGATCCTGTGGGAGGTTGGGGTCACAGTATTTTAGTAGTAAGTTTAGCAATCATGTCTGCTAATGCATTTCCCATAGAAATTTCATGTGTTGTTAGTGTGTGCCAGTGCCTGGCATTTGACATTGGCAATTTCAGATGGTAGCATTAGGGCTTCCAGAAGGTCAGCCACTAATGTAGCATGAGAGATACCCTTACCACTAGCGGTAACAAAACCTCACCGCCGCCAAATCCACCCGAAGTCATGGGACACCCCAAAAGCATATCTTGAATCTGTGTATATTGTGACATGGCGACCTGCAGACAACCTACATGCTTCAGTGAGGGCTACCAGCTCAGCAGCCTGAGCTGCTGCATAATTCTTAAATTATTGAGCCTTAAGAATTATGTCAGGCAGTTGTACAACAGCATATGAGGTTAGAAACACACCATCTGAAGGTCTAGAGCAAGATTCATTCTCAAACACTACATCACTGTGACCCAGTAGTGTAGTGAGTAAGTCAGGACGGGGTCTGCAGTCAGTAGAAGTAGTGGCTATACCGTCATGATCCTCATCTAACTGTAGTGGTTTGTCTGTGAGCATCCATGAAAGAAGGTACGCAGGACCTATGGCAGGTGGTGCATATTTAATCTTAAGATTGAAGGTGGAGGTGGGAAACAGCTTCATACCCTGACCTGCGTTGTGATAGCATGTGCTGTGTGGTGATGTTGTTGAGGATCTGTATGACCTCATGAGAGTTGTGCAAGACAAGGTCATGGAACAAGACAATTGTCTGTGCTACCTCAACCATCATAGCGTTGGCAGCGACAGCTCTTAAGCATGCAGGCATTTCCTATACTATCATGGGCAGGGCTTTAGAATAAAAAGCTCCGGAACAGTATGTGCCAAGACACCAGCAGCAGCTGTGCCACACTCAGTACAGTAGGGGATAAAAAGGCATTGCGTAATTAGACAGACCTAGTGCAGCTGCATTGCACAGGGCTTACATGAGATGCTGGAAAGTCCACCAAATCATATCTGGCATGTCAGGGAGAGAAAGTCCAATTAATATGTGGTCCCAGTGTGAGCAGTCTGTTATCCACTGGCAGCATTAATTCATTATGCCAAGAAAAGGAGAGGAGGGCCTGAACACCTGTGTGATAGTCTTGACGCAGTCTGGAGCAAGGAACCATTCGCCATGGCTGAGCATTAAGCCAAGGAACTAAACTTTAGGCTGGCAAAATAGTAGTTTATTGGGTGAAACTTGGCGACCCATGTCACACAAATGATGCAGCAAGCTGAGCGTATCAGTCTCACATGCGGATTTTGTAGGACTGCAGATGAGCCACTTACTGGTTTCCATGGTTAAAGAGTTTTATGTACCATGGTAGAAAACGCCACAATAGCCTTGTGGGAGCCTTTTCCAAGTCTACTGGCTACCCTTGTATGTAAAGGCAAACAATGGTCTGGTGTTAGGGTGCACCCGGATGCTAAAGAACGTGATGCCCAAAGCTATGACACTAAAGTGAGTGGATGTGGCTGGTTTAGCTAAAAAAAAATCACATCTGGGACTACCGGAGCCAGGGGCTGTGACTGGGCACTGACATCCCTCAGGTACTGTATGAACCGGTATGCACTCTTATTAGGCTTAGGAACTGGATTTATCGGGGAGTTCCAGAAGGAAATTATTCCCTTCTGTAGCCTCTTTGCAACAACTGGGCGATACCTAGCTCCTTTTCCCTGGACAGTGAGCACTATTTGACAAAAATAAAACAGGTGGCGCACCTTCTTTTCAAATTTGCCTCATAAGGAGTGCCATCAATAAATTCTGGATCTGTGGATGAGATGGCCCAAAGATGCTGGAGCAATGTCTCAAGCAGGGCTGGCAGTGTGATGGATGTCTGCAGGCAGATAGTGATAAGGTGGACAGGGAAGAATGTCAGTTTGTAATGCAAGATTGGCCCTCCACCCTCCCACCATTCAAAGATTATATTATTAGTAAATATTATATTATTATATTATTAGTAAATATTACAGTATTCCCCATGCTGTTAGTAAATATTATATTAGAAACATAGAAACATAGAATGTGACGGCAGATAAGAACCATTCGGCCCATCTAGTCTGCCCAATTTTCTAAAAACTTTCATTAGTCCCTAGCCTTATCTTATAGTTAGGATAGCCTTATGCCTATCCCATGCATGCTTAAACTCCTTTACTGTGTTAACCTCTACCACTTCAGCTGGAAGGCTATTCCATGCATCCACTAGCCTCTCAGTAAAGTAATACTTCCAGATATTATTTTTAAACCTTTGTCCCTCTAATTTAAGACTATGTCCTCTTGTTGTGGTAGTTTTTCTTCTTTTAAATATAGTCTACTCCTTTATTAGTAAATATTATATTATTCCCATGCTGTTAGTAAATATTATATTATTAGTAAATATTATATTATTCCCCATGCTGTTAGTAAAGATTATATTATTAGTAAATATTATATTATTCCCCATGCTGTTGGTAAATATTATAGTATTAGTAAATATTATATTATTCCCCATGCTGTTAGTAAAGATTATATTATTAGTAAATATTATATTATTCCCCATGCTGTTGGTAAATATTATATTATTAGTAAATATTATATTATTATATTATTAGTAAATATTATATTATTCCCCATGCTGTTAGTAAATATTATAGTATTAGTAAATATTATATTATTCCCCATGCTGTTAGTAAAGATTATATTATTAGTAAATATTATATTATTCCCATGCTGTTAGTAAATATTATATTATTAGTAAATGTTATATTATTCCCCATGCTGTTAGTAAAGATTATATTATTAGTAAATATTATATTATTATATTATTAGTAAATATTATTCCCATGCTGTTAGTAAATATTATATTATTAGTAAATATTATATTATTATATTATTAGTAAATATTATATTATTCCCATGCTGTTAGTAAATATTATATTATTAGTAAATATTATATTATTCCCCATGCTGTTAGTAAATATTATATTATTAGTAAATATTATATTATTCCCCATGCTTTTAGTAAATATTATATTATTAGTAAATATTATAGTATTCCCCATGCTGTTAGTAAATATATTATTATATTATTAGTAAATATTATATTATTCCCCATGCTGTTAGTAAATAAATATTATATTATTCCCCATGCTGTTGGTAAATATTATATTATTAGTAAATATTATATTATTATATTATTAGTAAATATTATTCCCATGCTGTTAGTAAATATTATATTATTAGTAAATATTATATTATATTATTAGTAAATATTATATTATACCCCATGCTGTTAGTAAATATTATATTATTAGTAAATATTATATTATTCCCCATGCTGTTAGTAAATATTATATTATTAGTAAATATATTATTATATTATTAGTAAATATTATATTATACCCCATGCTGTTAGTAAATATTATATTATTAGTAAATATTATATTATTATATTATTAGTAAATATTATATTATTCCCCATGCTGTTAGTAAATATTATATTATTAGTAAATATTATATTATTCCCCATGCTGTTAGTAAATATTATATTATTAGTAAATATTATATTATTCCCCATGCTGTTAGTAAATATTATATTATTAGTAAATATTATAGTATTCCCCATGCTGTTAGTAAATATTATATTATTAGTAAATATTATATTATTCCCCATGCTGTTAGTAAATAAATATATTATTAGTAAATATTATTCCCATGCTGTTAGTAAATATTATATTATTAGTAAATATTATATTATTCCCCATGCTGTTAGTAAATATTATATTATTAGTAAATATTATATTATTCCCCATGCTGTTAGTAAATATTATATTATTAGTAAATATTATATTATTCCCCATGCTGTTAGTAAATAAATATATTATTAGTAAATATTATTCCCATGCTGTTAGTAAATATTATATTATTAGTAAATATTATTATTCCCCATGCTGTTAGTAAATATATTATTAGTAAATATTATTAGTAAATATTATATTATTATATTAGTAAATATTATATTATTATATTATTAGTAAATATTATATTATTCCCCATGCTGTTAGTAAATATTATATTATTAGTAAATATTATAGTATTCCCCATGCTGTTAGTAAATATATTATTATATTATTAGTAAATATTATATTATTAGTAAATATTATATTATTCCCCATGCTGTTAGTAAATATTATATTATTAGTAAATATTATAGTATTCCCCATGCTGTTAGTAAATATATTATTATATTATTAGTAAATATTATATTATTAGTAAATATTATATTATTCCCCATGCTGTTTATCATTACTGCTCACAGAACTCATTGTCAGAACTTGGCCTTGACTTTGCTCCTCCCCTACCCCTCCCAGTTAGCCGTGATTGGTTGGAGATATACCCCGCCCACATCCACATTTCCCATTGCGATGAGCCCGAGTTGTGGGTCGGCTTGGGTGACGTCACGGTGCTGGGCGCGCCCCCGGCTCCTGGTGACGAGCTGTACGCCCTTGGCTGGGGAGCAGAGAGGTGCGTGCACGCGCGGCGGGAGCGAGCATGTCCACAGCCAGAGCTAAGAAAGTGAAGATGGCCACCAAGTCCTGCCCGCAGTGCGACCAACAGGTGAGACCTGCCCCCTGGGGCCCCTGCTGAGCACACAGTGCCGCCCAGCCCCCAGCCTGGGGCCCTCCCTGGGAATAGGGGTCATATCTGGGGTCCATGCTGAGCACATGCCCTGTCTGTCACACACATTTATTGCATTTATACCGCCACAGCATGGGTCAGCTGTCACTGTGTGCTGCCCAGCCAGGGCTCAATGGGTTACATTACTGTCATGTGCACACAGGGTGCACACAGGGGGTGAGGGGCTTGCTGGGGTGCACACAGGGGGTGAGGGGCTTGCTGGGGTGCACAGGGGGTTGCTAGGGACCCAGGGGGTGAGAGCTTGCTGGGGGTGCACAGGGGGTGAGAGGCTTGCTGGGGTGCACAGGGGTGGGAGGCTTGCTGGGGGTGCACACAGGGGGTGAGGAGCTTGCTGGGGTGCACACAGGGGGTGGGAGGTGCACACACAGGGGGCTTGCTGGGGGTGCACACAGGGGTGGGGGCTTGCTGAAGGTGCACACAGGGGGGGGGAGGCTTGCTGGGGGGTGCTTGCTGGGGTGCACACAGGGTGTGAGGCTTGCTGGGGTGCACACATGGGGGTGAGGGCTTGCTGGGGTGCACACAGGGGGTGAGGAGGCTTGCTTGGGGTGCACACAGGGGGTGAGGAGGCTTGCTGGGGTGCACACAGGGGGGGAAGGAGGAGGCTTGCTGGGGGTGCACACAGGGGGTGAGAGGGGCTTGCTGGGGTGCACGGGGGTGAGAGGCTTGCTGGGGGTGCACACAGGAGGTGGGGAGGCTTGCTGGGGTGCACAGGGGGTGAGGGGCTTGCACTGGGGGTGCACACAGGGGTGAGGGGCTTGCTGGGGTGCACACACAGCTTGCTGGGGTGCACACAGGGGTGGGAGGCTTGCTGGGGGTGCACACAGAGGGGTGAGGGGGGTGCACACAGGGGTGAGAGGGCTGGGGTGCACACAGGGGTGGGAGGCTTGCTGGGGTGCACACAGAGTTAAGGTTGGCTGTGATGATCACCAAGGTTAAGTCATGCTAAGGGTTAAAAGCTTGCTGGGATGACCATGATCAGGATCAGTGTGTGTATGTCCTCTTTCCTAATGTCCTTCCCCATTGACTCGTTTTATTCAATGCTGGTGTGTAAAACAAACAAAAACCCATATGAAAGAGTTAAAAGTCATGCTGGGAAGCATAAAATGGTTAAATGTATGCTGGACTGTACTCTGCCTGAACTGGGACCAGCCTAAACATCCTCATTCCCTTGACCTGTCTCAGTAGCATTGGTATCCCCCCACTCTGATCCTGAAAGTTGAAAATGTTGATTGACATTTTATTGGATTAATTGGTTATATTTATTGTAACACCATGGAGAGGGTTAAATTAGCTCAGAATGCTGAGGGTTGCCTTTTACAATGCTGTTACCACCTTAAAATAAAAAGTGTTAATACTGGATTTTGCTAAGAAGCCGAGGAGGTGGTGCTGCCTGCCTGGTCCCTGGGATGGTGTTAATAAGTTTTGCCTTGGTGACAATTTAATGAGGTCTGCTCATTTTCTGAACTTCCTGTTAATAATCCTATTTCCATGTTTAAATTGTTCTAACCGTAATCACCGCTGCTGTCTTTGTAGCAATTTCTCTTAGCACAATACTACTGAATATGATGAGATTTATCAAAGCACAGTAGCCGGATTTAGTGTAAAATTATATTAGCAGTTGTGTTTTTTTTTTTTTGTTTTTTTGTTTTTTTTAAATATATTTTATTGGCACGTGTGAGTTTGATCTATTTGTTATGTTAAGTTATTTTACGTTTAAACACTGAACTTATTGTAAAATACAAATTATAGTTCTATAAATCCCCACCGTGCTTTATCATGACTAATATTGTGTGTATTTCTGATATCAGTAGTCCTAACTCTACTATCTACAGAGCACCCACATGTTTCGCAGTGTTCTTCACTGCACAGGCTATGCTGATAGGGGGGTAAAACGTGTGTTAATTCATAGACTATATAGGAAAAGATAACTTTTTAAAATATTACACTGAATTCTTGTCTTTATATAAGCTGGACACATTTATGGCTTGCCCTTTGTGGAAATATATATGTTGCTCTTTTTTGGCTTTAAAGTGGTTAAGAGAGGACATTGCCATAATTTGCTAAAAATGTGTTATTTTGACCTAAAAAAATGCAATTATCTTGTCAATTTTCTACAGTTGCCAATTAAGTAAATACATCCCACTTGTGTTTCCTCACTCAACTGAATTTCAAACATTAGTTTACAATAGCCAAGACACTGAAATATAGAGCGTTTTCCAACTTCCCTATGTTAACCTATATTTGAAATGTAGTTTTCAATGCACTTTCTGTTAAAATGATGGTAATTCCCCACAAAATGTGAAATTCTTGTTTGCTATGTTTCCAGCTTGGGTACAGAGGCCTACATGATTCAATTTCCTTTTACGGTTTACTGTTTAATGAGTAAACAATGTAATAAAAAAAGTAAAGTGTTAAAAATTTGCTAAGCGCTGGGTTGTGCTGTATATTTCTGTTGTCCAATAGTTGTGGTTGTACAGGTAATATTTACTTGGTAGAGCTGTGAATCTTGTTCATTAACCGCTTCCGAATTGTAGCAAATTGACATCCAGATAGCAAAATCTAGACTTGCCTTTCAGATTCTATCCCACTATAATTCAGAGTTTAGTGACCCAATTCCTCTTATGATTGTCATCTATTAGTAATTATTAATCATTTCCTGCTTGAATAAAGGTTAATGGGCAGCATACAAGGCCAAACTATTTATGAATATGTTCAATTTTTCCACCTTTCTTTCATTATCTCCCTAGGATGAGCCAGGAGTCACATTGTAACACAATATATCTGATTAAGTTGTAAGGGGCTTGGTGGAATATACATGCTTAGCCAATGCAATCTGAATCTTTTTCTCTATGACCATAAATAGACAAGTAAATATAGCTATTGTCAGCAGTGAATCGAAATCTGAATATTTTGAAGGCTATATAACACTGTATTGGACCTTTCTAAGGGCAAAGCTGTTTCCCGAAATAGGCCATGCTTAGAAAGTAATGAAGTTGGAATAGGTTGCTAGGTAACCCAATAGGGGAAAATGTGCATTAGATGTTGAAAACAGTTTGAGATCTGCAGGGGAGTTCACACTGTAATTAAAATCTTTAATATGCACTATGAAAGCCTTGGGCGTATTTAAAGTAGAATAAAAATAAATGGTGTGGATTCTAAGTTGGGGTAGAATGAACTCTAAATGAGCGATGGACAATGTGATATGTAGCTTCCTACAGTATTTCCTTTTGGTAACAGTTTGGCTTCTTACCTGGAGTCTGATGGGCGCCAATCTCTTTGCTGAGTGAAACCCAGCAGTGCCAGGTGTAGCTCATTGGGTGAAAACTGTCAGCTGACACTCTACACACCAATCAACTGGCCCTGCATGTCAGACCTTATTTAGCTCAGGAGAGCTAACAGAAGGTCGTAACGGGAGCTTTCTTGCTTCTGTCTGCAAAGAGGCAAGGAGCATCACTCAGAAGCCCCCAGGTAAAAAGTCAAACTATTGGCACCATAACTACTACACAGTACTGTAGTGGTTATGGTGCTCGCAGCGTTAATGTAAGATTTCACAGGTGCCAGCACAGAAAGTAGATTTAGCTTTCTGGGAATACCTGTGAATAGAGGGATATTTAACCCCTTAAGGACACATGACAGAAATATTCCATCATGATTCCGTTTTACTCAAGAAGTTGTGTCCTTAATGGGTTAAAGAAAAGTGTGTGGTTTTTATTTTGTGCATATTTGAATGGATTATCTTGACATTCTAATACAATAGCTTTAATCCACCATGACTTATCACATTAGAACCCACTGTTTCTTACAACTCATTATAAATTACTCACTGTTGGCTGACCTCCACTATCAATCAAATTTCACAGCAGGGAAAGTATTTTAACATTTAAGATTTGAAACAAGGAATATAGAACTATATAAATTGGAAAGGCAAATAGTCCCAACAGTTACGTCACAATTGAAACGGGATGCATTCATTATAAATATATTTTATATATAATGTCTTGATAAACATAAAGACATGCTAAAAACCAAAAACCCCTACACGATAGATTAGGATTACAGGGAAATTTAAGGTGTGCAATGAAGGTAATTATATTCCGCACATGTGATCAATCACATTGTATTCCTGATAAGCCTGCTTGTGTAGTGCGCACAATTTTCCCATGAATCACTGAGCATGTGTTTTGACGTTTTCTATTTTATACGAATGCAAGGCTATGTCTACCCACACTTATAAGTGTGCAGATGTATTTGTATTTTTGAGGGGGGTGGGAGGGGGTGAGGGTAGTTATTGTAAAACCTTTTGAGAAATAATGGTTCTAGACTTCTTATCTTACCTTGAACTGTAGACTACCTGCTCATATAAAAGACACTGGATGAATTCAGAATGGCAACATCTGAGTTTTTGCAGGGAAGGAAAATGGCAGGATTGAAAGCTATTTTTGCTGTAATTAACTTGGAATCTTGTTCGACAAACACAGAAGCAATGCATTCCTGTCTCACAATGTAAAAGGAGAGGGCACCCCCCTTCCTCCAGTACCACAAGCCCATAAAATCGAGGCAGCTGCAATTTAATGCGTGACTAGGAGAAATTGAAAGCATACTGCAGTGATCACAAAATACACTAGGAAAATTTAATGGCGTGATTTATTGGAGTATTATTGTTGCTGTGCAGTTTGAATAGCTCTTGTTATCTGTGAAGTCACATTTTGCTTTTAAAAAAAAATACATGTATTTGCATTGTGCAGCAAGTGTAATTTCAACAGTGTAACTGCTAGTTTATTTTCAAACTACAGGACCCGGCTAATTATAAGTAACAGCTAGTCCTTCCTCTTTTAAAAACTTTTATTCTTTAATTGTTTTTATTCGTGTACATTTCTTTTTTTCTTCATTATTTTGCAGTGAATGCATCATAATCTATCAAAGGCCAAGCCAATCTGTCAGACTAGGTTGCCTTTAAATCCTGGCAGACGCAAGACCTGATGGTTCTTTGTGTTTAAATAAGGTGACTGTTCTGCAACTTGTTCTGTCTATTCAGGATACGTTTAATGTCTTCTTAACCTAAAGAGTGGATAACTGCTCGTGTGGTTTAACCCCTTTTAGACAGAGTGACTTACACCATGATAACAATCTGTTCTATGCTGATACTATTCGGAATTGCAATGATTCAGTAAGTTAAAGACTGCATTCAGCTGCCATCAATAGTTAACAGGACATTCTGTACTGGCACAACACAGTATTTAGGGATCAGATTAAGGACACTGTAAAGTTTAACATCTGGGAAGGCTTACAATCAAGAAATTTGAGGTTTTATTTACTATGGGTAAGTTGTTTGGTTTTTATTGTCAACTCCGTATATACTAATTTTATTTTTTAAACAGAAATTGTCAAAAAAAAAGGAAAACTTGAGTTCTTAAGGTCACACCGATTCTCTTTCATCATATCTTTAAGCCCGAAGCATGTACAGGATATTAAAGGATATTCTTACACTTGGGCTGTAATGTCTCGGGGGACTGTTGTAACATGGCCAGGTATAAGATTTGAAATTCACTTTGAATTCTCAACAATTCTCAATTTATGAATGCCCTGTTTATCAACTAAACCATAAACTGGAGAATTCATGAGAAAGTTGTAAATTCTAGGCCAAAATAGTTGAGGTGAAAGATCACTTGAGTTAGAGAATATTTCAAACCACCTATTTTGACCTTGTAACTTTTCACAATCTCTAGATTTGTATATAATCCTTTTTATAGTAAATTCAACCTATTGCATAGTGGTTTACCTACACTTCTTCATATACAATCAGGGTGTTCTTTAAGGGACACTATAGTCACCACTGCAACTACAGCTTAATGTATTTGTTATGGTGAGTATAGTCAGTCCCTGCAGGCATTTTGTTGTATAAACTGTCTTTTCAGGGTTTACATTACATCCACTACTCCGATGGCTACTAGAGGTGCTTCTTGGGGCAGTGCTGCACAACGTGCAGCACTGCCATTCAGTGTCTCCACACTCTGAATGCAGACACTGAACTTTCCTCCTAGAGATGCATTGATTCAATGCATCTCTATGAGGAGATGCTTATTGGCCAGGGTGGTGTTTGGCCCTACCCCACCTTCTTGACAATCTCAGCCAGTCCAATGGGTTTCCTGTGTGAAAGTATTGGATTGGCTGAGAGCATCAATTCTGATATCAGCCAAAAGAGGTGCACCAGCAGACCCATGGAGAGCTGGAAAAAGAAGGTACGTTTAAACCCTTTCTAGGGAGTGGGATGCCACCTAAATGGTGGTTATAACACTATACGTTCAGGTATATATGTTTGTGTTCCTGACCCTTTAGTGTTCCTTTAAGTATGTCTGGCTGCTAAATTATTAGAGGGTTACGCCAACTAAAACCCATTTTTTTTTTTTTTTTTTAAAACACTGGTTTTCGTTAGCGTAAAGCTTGTTGTGTTTGTCCTCTGCCAACCCCAATTGAAGAAAAAAAACTAAAAAAATAACATTTACCCATATTCAGGCCAAGTTTTCCATGCAGCATGATCCTTCTCGGCTGCAGCACTGAGGTTGTGTTTATGCCATCATTGGCTGTCTGGAGCTCTCGTGCTGTGGCATCAGATGCTTAATTTGCACCAAATTCACATTAGCCATTTCTGTTTGTAGGTGGAGTTAAAGCTCCAGTACTAGTGGTAAACGGCCTGTTTGCAGCGTTTCACATCGAAATGCTGCACATACAGACTTCAGGCACCATGACCACTTGACATCACCGAAATGATCGTGGTGGCGCAGGTAATTCTTTAATAATGTGTCAGCCTTTTAAAGTAATGATCCATGCAGGGTTTAGCAATTCAATGCCCCAGAGATTCATATCCCTTACTAATAATTAGAATTTTACATTAGCCTGTGCGTTATTGATGATTCGTGAGTTTATTCTCCCTCCTGCAGTTCTTGGATGCTTGCAAAGCACATGCCCAAGTGATGTATTACCCTATTAGTGGATTGCCTAACATTCCTGAGGTTTCTACCAATCCCCTGGCTGTTGCCTATCTACTGATACGCCTATAATTTTCTAGTGCCTAAAACGAGTGAGTTCTAGTCAATGAAACATGGACCCTTGACTTTCGTTGTAGGCAAATATAAATGATGACAGAGCACTCTGCATCCCAGGCAACTGTGTCAATGACTGAACGGTAAAGCGCCTGAAACTAGTGTCGTTCTACTAAATGCATTTAAACCATGTTTCTTTAAGAGGTGAAATTGAGAGGTTCTCCTTATGCCATGCATGCTGGATGAAGTACGTTTTCTGTGCTGGTTCATGCCTTGTATTTCTGCTTAATCTATTTTCCTTTATACTTTATTTGAGAGAGTCCTTTCTGCTGGTTTCTGCCTTTTCTAACATACTGTAATAAACTGCTGAACGATCCTGCATATTTTACAGACTGCCTCTGTCTGTTTTCCATGTGTCTTGGCTACAATGATCAAACTGTGATCCACATACCAGACTTGTAAGAACGCGTTTCCACTGTGCATAGAGAGTCATCGTATGGACCCTCGGCTGTCAGGAAAGGCCATGGGTATAGGCCAACTGGCCTATATTGGTGCCTGCCTCCCCCAGTCCAATCATATACCTATAATTAACAATACATTAATTCTATAGTGTTTTGTATGGTGCAGCCATTCATCTTCAATTTCTCAATCCATCATATTTTCATTGTGTTTTATTTATCGTAATGCTGATGGGATATATCTTCCTAAATACATTTATTTCTTGATTAAATGAATATAAATTAACAATCTTACATAATGTGAATATTCCATAGTGTTAGCAGCGTCTGTCACATTATTAAGATGGCAGGTGAAAATGTACAAACTCCATCACAAGCCGTGCATCATACACAGACAGTCTACTCCTATTACACACAAATAGGCCACATCACACATTCTTTGCTTGTCATGTCTTCACTGCCTATTGGGCCTTTATTACAATTTATTTTACATTATTTTTGTAAAGAAACACTGCCAGCACCATAACCATTACATGCAGAGTAACTGGTAAGCAGCAATTATAATGTTTTGGCAACTTACCTTGGTTTTCCGGGAGCCTCTGATGTCTTCATTTAACTAATGTGGTTGATATGCTGATATCAGTAGAATTTGATTCGTAGACCAAGTCTTACTCTGTATGGAAGAGAGAGTGCTTCTAGAACTGGATTTACCATTGTTACGTAAACATTGCGGTTAATAAAAATAAAAAAAATGCAAAAAAAAAAGCCTGCCATGTTTTACATTGCAGGGTTAAAATGACAGGTGCCCTTCCTTAAGCTAAAACAGTCTGGGTAATTATGGTCCCATAGTTTGCGGTGATGACGCCAGGGCCATTTGATGGTATTATGTTTGTATAATTTACCACTATGTATCCTCTAAATGGGTATGTGTGGGTATATGTAAATCCTGGTACAGACAAGGAATACGTAGCTCAGTTCCATGTAGCTTTGTAGAATGTTCTGATTCTCACAGTGTATTCTTGGAATGAACGTGTAAATTTGTCCGTTACTCCTCTTTGCCCGGTTTCTTTTTTTATTATGTAGGCTGGGAGAAAATCTTATATTAAAGGAACACTATAGTCACCTAAATTACTTTAGCTAAATAAAGCAGTTTTAGTGTATAGATCATTCCCCTGCAATTTCACTGCTCAACTCACTGTCCTTTAGGAGTTAAATCACTTTGTTTCTGTTTATGCAGCCCTAGCCACACCTCCCCTGGCTATGATTGACAGAGCCTGCATGAAAAAAAACTGGTTTCACTTTCAAACAGATGTAATTTACCTCAAATAATTGTATCTCAATCTCTAAATTGAACTTTAATCACATACAGGAGGCTCTTGCAGGGTCTAGCAAGCTATTAACATAGCAGGGGATAAGAAAATCGTAATTAAACAGAACTTGCAATAAAGAAAGCCTAAATATGGCTCTCTTTACAGGAAGTGTTTATGGAAGACTGTGCAAGTCACATGCAGGGAGGTGTGACTAGGGTTCATAAACAAAGGGATTTAAGTCCTAAATGGCAGAGAATTGTGCAGTGAGACTGCAGGGGCATGTTCTATACACCAAAACTGCTTCATTAAAGGACCACTCTAGGCACCCAGACCACTTCAGCTTAATGAAGTGGTCTGGGTGCCAGGTCCTTCTAGGGTTAACTCATTTTTTCATAATTATAGCAGTTTCAGAGAAACTGCTATAATTATGAATGGGTTAAGCCTTCCCCTAATCCTCTAGTGGCTGTCTCATTGACAGCCACTAGAGGCGCTTGCGTGCTTCTCACTGTGATTTTCACAGTGAGAGCACGCAAGCGTCCATAGGAAAGCATTGTAAATGCTTTCCTATGCGACGGGCTGAATGCGCGCGCAGCTCTTGCCGCGCGTGCGCATTCAGCCGGCGGGAGGAACGGGAGAGGAGGAGGAGAGCTCTCCGCCCAGCGCTGGAAAAAGGTAAGTTTAACCCCTTTTCCCCTTCCAGAGCCGGGCGGGAGGGGGTCCCTGAGGGTGGGGGCACCCTCAGGGCACTATAGTGCCAGGAAAACGAGTATGTTTTCCTGGCACTATAGTGGTCCTTTAAGCTAAACTTGTTCAGGTGACTATAGTGTCCCTTTAAAGCAGAGGATGCCTTATTCTTGCAGCCTCTGCACATGTAAAATTGACCTGTCACCTCATTGGTTACTCTGTATAAAAGTTTCATGAGGAGGTGCCGACGTAGAACCAAGTTAACCCCTTCCTCATCCAGTATTACATTCATAGGTCTGTGCTAGTTAGACAAGCTTTCTGCTTGTCTCCAGCTACCAATTAAACTTTAACTCTGCTCTAAACCTGGCCTAGACTCCTACCTGACAACTCTTGGTTACTAACGCCCAGTGACACAGTGTATCTCATTATAGAAGCAAATCACTCAATCGTAAACCCAGAAACTGTGAGAGCAAGGTTTGACTCATAGAAATATATTACTAATGGGAAAACGGCAGAGTATTTTTATAGAGCTAATAACCAAGTAAGAGAAACAATCACTTCCTCCTCCTAACCGGTGTGAAAAAAGCCTTCCTGTTCAGGATTCTTAACTCACTTGCAAGTGCATTATATTTAATAATACTGATCGTGCTAAGCTCGGCCTGGGAGCGAAAAGTATGAGTGGAGATGCTGATGAAGTGGTCTGGGTGCCAGGTCCATCTAGTGTTAACCCTCCAGCTGTAAACATAGCAGTTTCAGAGAAACTGCTATGTTTACACTAGGGTTAATCCAGCCTCTAGTGGCTCTCACTGACAGCCGCTAGAGGCGCTTCCGCGCTTCTCACTGGAGGGGGACCCAGAGGGTGGAAGGAGGGGGGGCCTAAAGACCCTATAGTGCCAGGGAAAACGAGTGTTTTCCTGGCACTATAGTGGTCCTTTAAGGGAAAGGAGGCAGATAATAAGAGGACTGGCTGTGTGGTGGAGGCAGGTCAGTAGCTCAGCAAACTCTGATTTCTCATTGACTGAACAGTGTACTTGATTTAAATAAACATACTCTAAGTGCTTTTGCTTAGGAGGCATGTAGAGGAACAAAATGTATGTGGACTGGCTGACCTGAATTAAGTTAATGCTGACTTTGCACACTTTGCAAATGCTCTTGCTTCTTCGGTTTTGCTAACAATGTGGCATGTCCCCTTAATTCTGCACTTACTACATCCACCTTTTCTCCAGGAGCCTCTGTCTGCCAGTATGAAGAGAAGGAGAGGAGTGGATATGTGAATGCTGAGGGACTACCAGGGAACTGTCTCCAGAAGGTGTATAGTGAGCGCATCATTAGACACGTTTCTGCCAAGCTCAGGGTGCTGAAACAGCGCTACTTGCTCAGTCTGCCTATAGTCGGGTGGCCTGTGTGATTGCCATGCACCCTGGCACGATTCACGCCAGGTTGACATTCCAATTCTTCGGTCAGACCAGCCCCCGCTTCACAGAATGCCCATGTTGGATTTGGTTGAGAGAAAAAGCGAGAGATTGGCATAGGGTGGGTATGTTTATTCTTATGAAAACATCCTGTGAGTTGGCCTCTGGCCCTGAGTCTTTTTACACACCTGACATGTCATTGCCTATCTGTTATAAAAAGGGAAGAATACCATTCTTGTTCTCTTCTAATTAGCAGAAGGGTTTTGAGCATCCATTTATTATTATTTTGTATCATCCATTTAAACTTTTTAACAAGGCGCTAGAAATATGCTATGCTGCCAGCGGTTTGATTTATTTGGGGGATAGTTCAGACATTGCTGAGCAATGAATTCCTGAGCTGTTTGGCTTCAATTTATGAATAATTGTAATTATGTTCAGTTTTAGCAACTGTAAGGAAGAGCATGCAATGAGACAGGGAGAGGCACTTCCTGGTATCATAATCTGTGCAGATAACATTGGCAGTTGTGGTGTTTGAAGTGCCCTAGAGTGTAAGCTTCTTCAAGCAGGGCCATCTGCACAACTTATATCTTTCAGCATTATTTTGTTTATCATTTACTTGCTATTATATATTTGTATAGGGCCGTAGAATAATTTATAAATATAAAAATGCTAATAAAACTTAAAAATCGTGTAGTTCTGAATCTGACAAGACAGATCAGATTTTGCGTCCAGGCTTGTTGTTCATGGTATCGTTTGTAGTATCTTGCTTCTGGGGACTCCAAAGTTCAAGTGCATTATTGTACTGGCAATGTAAAAACTCATCTTGGGGCACTAAGCAAGAGCGCTTCTAAAGGGGGCTATTCAACTGATGGGCGGCCAAGAGAAGGTTGATTTGCGTGGCACCTTTTGCAGGTGGTTCTGGAACCCTTGACATGTCAATGGAGCCCCCTCCCTGCATTCATCTCTGCCAGTCTTGCTAGATATGTGATAGTAATAATAGCATGGAATTGCCTGCGGCTTTTACATACATTTAAAAAGCAGGTTTCTGAAGATGTTTTTGGAGCTGTGAGCTTGTGCCTTATAAATAATGTATGTGAGCCACTGTGCTTGCTCCCCCCCATCCCCCTCACCGTGTGTGTCAATTTAATACACAGGATCTTAAGGATGTTATGGTATGTGTGTGTTTTTCCAGAGCTGGAAGGTATGATTGGAATAGCCCTCCTTGGTAAATACACTCAATCCCCAGCTGTGGAGTTTTAAAATGAAATGCATATCTCCGAATCACCTTTACAGATTCATGCACGGTCTTGCAATAAAAAGGAAGTTGGTTTATGTACAAATGTTAAAAGGTCAATTCACTAAACACCAAATTGTACTGGATTTAAAATGAAATGTAAAAATTCTAGAAAATTAGTAGGTTTTGATAGATTCTCCAACTCTCCCATAGTCACAGACTTCCCACAAAAGCGTACATTATTTTTATTTGGAGGTCTTTTTGCTACAATTCAGTGTTTAGTGGATAAACACCCCAATGTAGCCAAAATTTCCCTAACTCTTTTTCGCTAGTTTGGCTATTTTTGGCTAATTTTGCAGTTTGTCGGATATGAGATTGGTGAATAAAATACAAATTGTGCATGTTACGCAAAGGGGATGTTTAATATCACCAGATTCTGTAATACGATTTGATATGTAATAATATATTGTCCTGCATTGCTCCCTTTTATAAGCCAGGCTGGGCTTGTATTACAGAGTTTTATACGGCCCAAGTAGTTACAAATCCCCCTGTGGTTTATGGAAAAACATAAGTTGGACTCGTGGCAGGTTGGTGGAAATATCCTACAGGCTTTAAAAATGTTTACATAAATGCAATCTAGCAAGGAGGGTTATTTACCCAGTGTGTGGAAAGATATTGTGATTGTCTGATTTTATTTATTTTTGATGTCCAAACTGGTCTGCTCCAATGTGCTGTGTGCTGCTGCAACAGCTTGACACATTAGTAAGTGCTATTTACAAATTTTTTTGTACTTCTAGTCAGTAAATCAAAAATGTATTCTTAAGAAACATTGTTAAAATACCAGAATAAAAGCCATCAAATAAAAAGTATTCTCGCATAAAGAATGAGGTGTGTACAAAAAGACCCACAATACAGTTTAGTGGTTTTCTCCATAGGTTTGAATCTCCAGCCCCCAATAAAAGACAGGATTGAGCCATACTGATTCTCCGCAGCTCTAGCATTTGATCTTTCTATTGGCACTATACACATTTTACTTTGCTACAATTGTGAGTTTATTGAATAGCCAAATTGTGACTGGTTGAACTGGATAATTTTTCCAAATAGTCTATTTTGGCCTATGTTTTTCCACTTTGGTTTTATCTTCGCTGCAGTTCAACTTTACTGAATAAACCCTGAAGTTTAATCCCCCTCTATCCTCCTCAGAGTCCTTAAAAGAAGGGCTCAGCCTATTTGCGTGCTGTATAAATCCTAAAATGGGCAGACAGAGATCACAGTTAATCCAATAAGTGCCAAATACAGTCTCGCCAATCAGTCTGCCCTTTGTGTTTCACATTTAATATGGTTTAGAAGAGACTGGATTCATGAGTTTCAATCATTATGTATTCACTAAACTCAAAAATTGAATTGAACTGAAAATCAGACTGCAAAAATAGCCGAGCACCTACTTTACTTGAGTTTGAGAATGTTCCCAAATCAGCAATTTCTGCCTTAATTTCAGTTTTTAATGGAGTAAAATTCAGTGTTTGCTAAATAAATCCCATTGTGCACATGATACTTTTGATTTGCAGGTAGTCAGAGTTCTCGGCTAATAAGCCTCTTTGCTAAATTAAAGTGATTAATTTGGCCCACATTGTTTTGAGGATTAAAACGCTCCAAGTATTGGGAGGAAAAATGAAATCACTTTCATAATATATAAAATGTATTGCGTGCTGCTGAGTAACTGTACAGTCAGTACAATTGTTGCTAACTGGTGCCGATATTCTATACACTTTTATATGTACATCACACTATCACTCTCAGGCAGCGAGTACATGCTAGGATCAGTGAGAATTTGGGTCCAAATTCCCCAGATCTCAATCTGAAATCTGGGATGTGCTGGAGCAACAAATAGAAATCCATGGAGGCCCCAAATCACAACTTGCAGGACTTAAGTGATCTGCTGCTAATGTCTTGGTTCCAGATACTACAGGAGGTCAGAGGTCTTGTGGAGTCCATTCCTCAATGCATCCGAGCTGTTTTGACAGCACGAGGAGGACCTATACGTTGTTATAATCATGTTGTGGGTACCTGCTGATGTGCTGCTTGTGTTATCTGTGACCCCACATGCTCTGCATATTCTGATAGAGTAGTGTTGAGTATCTGTGAATCCTACCTCGTTTGCACGTAACACTCAGGGTGACTGCTGAGTAAGGATTTGCAAGAGATTGCAGGGCTTTTCCCCAGGGTAAATCTCAGCCTAGAAGGGAAACGAGAGAGTTTGTTTTTCCGAATCATCACTTCTAACAGCTCAATTAATGTCTCTGGTGCAACCTCATCCTTCTCCTCCCTAAAAAACTAAATATATTTTAATAAATATGTGAGAACAATGGTTTGGAAAATATTGTGTATATAAAACAATCAAATATACGCCTGAAGTGTGCATTTATGTACAAATCTCCAAATGAATGAATTAAGCAGAATAATAAAGGCAATGGAAACTGAATTCTGCAAATTTTACAGCCCTCACCCAGGTGGAGGTAGCATGGGTCTAAATAATTCACTCCCCCATCCCTCAGGTACATACTGATCACTTAATTCCTTCTGTATTTCTTCCTCATCCTTTTGGATTATAAGCTTGTTTGGGCAGGGCCCTCTTCACCTACTCTTCCAGTATGACAATCGTGTTTTGTTAGAATTTAGTGTCTGTTTTGTTTACCTATGGAAGAGCGCTGCAGAATATGTTGGCACTATATAAATTTCTCTGCCGGTAATGGTAGATGAGAGGTATGTACTGAATGTGTGTGATTACCTTTGCCCACCTGTCCCAGCCCTAAATGAACCATGGCAGAGGGTTCCCACCCTCTAGGGATTCTTATCTGTGATGTTATTAGAAATGTATTGCAAATGCTTCCTCCCCTGGGGTTTTTCTGTTACAGGAAGTAGACATGACATTAGTGCCCAATAAGGCATATGAAGTTAAAATATATTCATGCTAAAGGGATGGATTAACCCTTTGAATCATGGGTAAATCACTAGTCGGTACACGGTAGACTAGACTCAATTTAAAACACGCTTTTTAAAGGAATCCTCCGAGCACCATAACAACTTCATAAAAATGAAGTTGATATAGTGACAGGAGGTCGCTGATGATGGCTCGCCTTTAGGGGTTAAACTATTCACAAATTTAGAAATGTACATATTTGTTTCAAGTCATTTTTGTAAATGGGAATCTACTGTTTGGCTGACAGTATCTGCTGACCACTGTCAGCTAATCAGCAGTAATTCTGCTTACAGCAACCATAACTTTCCTTTTTAAAAGCTTTTCAGCAATCATAAGGACAAGGGGCATAGATATTCAGCGCTGTAACACAGACTTAAACCACTTGTGAATCTGTTTTCCCATTAATGTGAGCCAGCGTCCGAGACCTCCTTGCACTATAACAACATAACTTAATTTCAATTTAGTTGTTATGGTACCAGAACTGGTCCTTTAAACATAAAAACAAACTTTTGCTGGATCTCATAATCTTTAATATTTGCAATCAGATGAAGATTTCATATTTAGATTTTTTTTTCTTTCTCCAGATTTAGCAGTTATAGCTGAACTGTATAAATATATAGAGGAAATTATTACAAGGTGAACTATCTCCAGTTTAATAGGCTAATCACTCATATTTGGAGACCAACTTAAATTAATGGTGTTGTGTGCACATAAATTTGCAGAATAACAATGAGATTAAGGTATTTTTCTGAACCTTTAAATGTTAATTTATATAACTTTTTTCTGCTTTTAAGTGCACATTATCTTTGTAACACATGTTCAATTAACTTGGATTAATGGAATTAATTTACCAGAAAGTAGATATTACATAAATACACAGCCTTATGCTACAGAACTGATCCCTATTGCTGAATAATCTTTGGACCATAATGTATCTTCAATAGAAAACTATCTTTAGATACATTTTGTTGAGCAAAAAACGGGGCGCAAGAGAATACTTAGAACAGGCAGCAGCTGAAATAGCCTGCCCTTCGGTGGGTCCCCGCTCAGAACTCAAGCTGGTTTTAGCTCATCTTGTGCCATCACAGAGAGAACATATCTGAAGCATATCAGACTGGTCCCACCCATACGGGCAGTCCAGATCCGAAATGCCAGAAAGTTCCCTCTGCACAAGAGACATAGCAACCCCAGACGATCGTTTCAGCCTTGTTAGGCATCATCAGTGAGGCATAGCTGATATCTCTCTAGGCACCGTGAGCAAGGGGTCCACGTTTGGATTACCCTTTAAATTTATGGAGAGCAAAAAACTGGGCGCAAGAGAATACTGAGAACATTTTATTTCCTCCAAAAGCATCTTATTAAAAGAAATTAAATTTTTAAATAATTTAATTAATCTGATTTTAATTGATTTTCATCCATTATCAATAGATATCTTACAGAAATTCTTCAGTCCATTGAAATAGATAATATATAAAAAAAAATACCTGCTGCATCTTTAAAACTTATTTAATCCCCATATATCATTCTCCATCGCCAAGCAACGGCCTTTTACCTTCTTTACAACCTCAAACCAGTGGCTTTATGGGATAACTTATTTTGGTAACACTTATTTGCACTATTTTTTCTTTTATGTTTTCTAGAGTATTAATGCCAAGAAGTATGTATTTGTTATATGCTCCACCCCATTATATATTGCTTTTGATTTATGTAATGTGTTTAGCCAAATAAATATCTCTAAAGCACACTTTCTTTATATTGTGTATACATCCAGTTAACATTGTGTTCCCATTCGGAGAACAGATCCTGTTTTATCCTGACTTGGTTAGAGTGAAGCCAAACATTCTGCCCTCATTGCTATGGTATCGTTCTACATTAACTAAACACCATTGTCTGAATCTCTCATTTGTCCTGAATTCACTTTGTAACCAATAGAGAGAGAGAGAGTGTGTGTATGTGTATGTGTGTGTGTGTATATATATATATATATATATATATATATATATATATATATATATATATATATATATATATATATTTACACACACACACTTTGACCCAACCAAATTCCAGGCAGGTACTACAAAGTTAGTGCACATTCAGAAATGTTGATGTCATACGTGAGTGCCTGGCAGCTCCAAAAGTGCTCTGACCTGTTGAAATTGTGAGTAATTGTTAGATACTTGATACTTTTAACCAAAGAGGACTTAAAGAAGGCTGCCCCATTCAGAATATGGGTTAGCCATGCACTGAGAAGATATATTTACTTGACAGAAACACTGACAATCTGTGAAACCTGTACTATTTTATTTTCAAGAATTATCATTTTTCAAGTGCCAAAAAAACAATGGCTACATAAGCAAATTCTCTTGATATAAAAAAAGTTGCATGCCAGCTTTTGTTAGCTGTATGTTTTTATCAATGATAGGGGACATTACGAGCCTATGTCTGCAGTTTAGGTAGCGTTTATAATCTTCTCACTATAAAATGTTTCCTGTAAACTGGAGCTAGAAGTACCAGTTCACACATAAACACGGCAGTTTTACATTCAGCCTCCCACATTTCTGTTCACAGTAGCTTTCATTTTAAGACGTTCTAACTTTTGCCTTTACGAGGATCCGGTGTCTGTTCCCGAGGAGGAAATTCTTGTAAGGCCTGAAGGCCGGTCTCTCCTTGGTGATCGGCACTGGTTGTACGCGAATACCTACAGTATTAATCACATCAGCAGTGACTTACTAATTCGTGGGTGTGAATTTGATTGGCACTTGAACATGCCTCAATAACCACTTTAATTGGCTGGATTTTATACAGTGCCTAGAATGTCCATTTATTGTACAGCGCTACGGAATTTGCTGGCGCTATATAAATAATTTATCAGTTACTAAAGTGCCACGGTCACCTGTTCAAGTATATTCATGATTTGATTTACAAAACAATGGCCTTGATAATTTCTACCTTTTCATACTAATGAATATTCAAATCCTGAATGCACCCTAGTACAGACAACAACATTTACAAAGTATTAAATTATTATTTTCATTAACAACATGACTTGCAAACATTGTAACGGAATATTGTTTTCAAAAGCTTGGTTGACTGGTCTATTGAAGCAAATTATTCTGCATACTTTATGCTTTGTACATCGGTTGTTAAGAAATATATATATTTCACTTGTAAACAGAGTTAGAACTGTTTTTAGAAATGAAAATGCTGATAAAAAGCAAACAATGATCAGACACTTATGTTTTAAATTGGCACTTAATTGTTTTTGCGCAGTTTTATCTTGGGTTTCAACCTTTCACAGCCTCGACTTTTAGCACTGTTAGCTATAGGGTATTCTAGAGTTATTTTAAAATTCTCTATAGTTTATTTTAATTAAGTGATTTAAATGTGTTAAAGGGACACTATAGACACAGACAGCTCATTAAAGTGGTCTCCCTTAGTTGTGTAGTGTATATCACATACTCAAGACATCATGGAGCAGTGAAGAGGTAATTTGTTTTAGATTTTTTCTTTCTTCTTACTTCAACTGTGTTATTCACCCTAGAAAATGTGGAAGTGTTGTTTACAGAGGTGACAGAACAAGGAAATGTGAGCTCCTATTTAAAAAGGCACTTCACTGCCTCCCTTACCCCCAACACAACTATTTAGTAGATATATCAGTGATTTAGATTTTTAATATCTAAAACAGTTTGCAAATGCTCCAGATCTGCTCCCTGCAGCCTTTGCAAAAGCTCAGACTTTCCAATGCAGCTCAATAAGAAGTCTTTGCAAGGCAGGTGCTTTGGGCAATTGCTGCCTCTTGAGATTAGTTCCACTGAGCTAAACAAACCAGGAAGTAACAGGACTGCTTGTCTGACTGACAGCCAGGTGGGTGTAACAAGGTCAATTTATAAAAGTGACAATTTCTACTTTTTGTAAAATGAAAAAGGGACACACTCCTCACAGGTAATCCACTTCAGGAAGCTAAAGTGCTGTAGGTGTTAGGAGTTTTTCTATAAGTGACACTGATTAATAAAGACTGCAGAGAATGTGGGATGCCAGCTGGCAGACAGTCTATGATTTGCACCTGGTGCAGGAGACAGGGAGTGGACAATTGAACTCTCTAATATTCTGTAAAAGATTTCACAATAAAGTAGAGCTCAATGTATATAGGCCATTATGAAATTGGTAAATAAAATGGGGCATAGTCTTGAGTATATTCATTCCATCTACACAGGGAAATTCAATGGTAACAAATAAGGGCTCTGCAATATTCCTCAAGCTATATGGTAAATAATTAATCAGCCTTTTTAAATGTCAGCTTTCATGCATCAAAGGGTTTGGTAAACTGAAGTCTGATTCCATTAATTTGGGTTTCTCATTCCATTACTTTGAATGTCAATAGAATAGCTAATATTGGGGAGAAAATGCTAACTGCATTATTTGCCTTACTTTGCAGATGTTAAGAGTTTCCTACCAACTATATGGTCTTGAAACAACAAGACCTGAAACTTAAAGGAACACTCCTGGCTTTTTTTTCAGCATGGTACAGATAGTTTAGTAATCATATAAGCAAAAGATTATATAAAGAATAGTAGAAAATAAGACATAAGTACAATAAAATAAGTACATGCGGTTGCTGCAAATCCCCAGGCTTGGTCAAGATTGTGTTCCACCAACTGCACTCCATCAATCTTCCTGATCTCAATTACATCCCCAAAACAGCAAGAACCTATCTTTCCTTTTCCTTACAATTGTCAGATCGTGCATAACAGGACTATCAAGGGCATACAGTAAAGCTAGAGAAACAAGTGCGAATATATATATACACCTAACTGTTTTCAGTGCAAGCAACAGCACCATAGTTACATGTTTTATTTTACTACAAAAACACCAAGTGGGATGTCTTGAGATACTTAAAGGAGTTAATCATACCGTGGGAAAATCCAGACAAAAACGCATTTCATGATTGCGAATTCTGTTATATGTAAAAATTAGAATGTGCATTCATGCGGATAATGTTGTAAGCCAAAAACTGTTGCGTATATGCCTATTTTGAAAGTGTATTGATATTATGTGGGCTATGTATAAGTTGTTCTGCTATGGAAAAAAAAATTAAAAAAAAAAAAAAAAAACCCAGCAAGAACATATTGAATATGAGATGCAATTTTGGGCACCTGTTTTTTTTTTGTTTTTTTTTAAACAATGTGCAGAGGCGTGCTACAAAACTAATAAGGGGGATGGCAAAACTTCGTTATGAAGGAAGGCTAGTAAAACGGCATTTGTTTTCTTTAGAAAAAGGCACATCAGAGGATATATGATGGCTCTATACAAGTATATAAAGTTTCAGTATCAGCACAAACCTGTTTGTTAGCTGTATTATACAATAGAAAAGAGGTCACCCATTGAGACTGGAAGAAAGGAGTTTTCACTTACAGCAGAGGAAAGGGCTCTTTACACATGTGGACTTTTTTTTTTTTACCCAAATTCTATAGCTATCTTTTACAATGGAGGGGCATTTTGAAAACTTTTTTTTGAAAACCAGAATATTCAAAAATATAATGAACGTATGTGAACAGGTTGTTGATTCAAGGAAACCAATACCATATAAAGGTTGAACTTGATGAACCGGAGTCTTTTTTTGTTTTTTTTGTTTTATAACCTAGATTAGTATGTAATAATAGTATATAGCATCATACTGGTTTGATCGATGTGTAACAAGAGTTTGGTTATAAATAATTACAAGGAAAAACAACCAGGAAGCTGAGATAGTTTAACCCCTTAAGGACACCGCTTCAAAAGCTTGCCTTACCCTTAAAGGATGACTATAGTGTCAGGAAATCAAAGCGGTTTTCCTGACACTTTAGTGCCCTAAAGGGTACCCCCACCCTCAAGGTCCCCCTCCCGTGGCACTGAAGGGGTTAAAACCCTGTCAGCAGCGTACCTTATTCCAGCGCCGGGCTCCCTCGGCGCTGGTGACCTCTCCTGCCCCACCGATGTCAGCGGATCCGAACGCGCATGCGCGGCAAGTGCCGCACGCACATTCAAAGTGTCCATAGGAAAGTATTTCTCAATGCTCTCCTATGGACGCTCTGCGCGATGGAGGCATAATATGCCTCCAGCGTGGCAGATGCGTCTCTAGTGGCTGTCCGGAAGACTGCAACTAGAGGCTGGCTTAACCCCAAATGTAAACATAGCAGTTTCTCTGAAACTATGTTTGCATCTGAAGGGTTAAAACCTGAGGGACATTGCACCCAGACCACTTCATTGAGCTGAAGTAGTCTGGTTGACTATAGTGTCCCTTTAAGGACACAAGCCATTTTTGCATTTTTTGCTGTGTGTTCAAACGCAATTTGCATCTCTGTCATTTATTGCACTAACACATATACCTTTTTTTTTTTTAGAGGGCAAAAATTGCTTTAATTTGATTTCACATATACATCGATAAATTCTAATTTTCTTATAAAAAAAAAAAAGCCAAAAAAAAATGGGGAAAAAACGGTTTTGACAATATTAGTGTGTGCATAATATGTCCAGCTTACGAAAATAAAACAAAATAAAAAATTCATTTATGTGTCTTGATTTATAGAATACATAATATGTGTAGGATTTCAGCTTATGTTGAAAGTTACAGGTCACAAAATACAAGGACTAAAATAAAATTTCAATGTTAAACAATTTTAGAAGTTGGTATGTTTGTCTTGTAGGTTTAGTAGCCATTACAGAAAACAATATATTTATAAAAAGTAGATCTCACAGGCTATTTACCTAAGGTACTTTTAACGTATATGGCATATACACATAACAAGGTTTTTGTAATGGGTATTTCGTAAAGCTGGTGTGTGCTATTCCTGCACAGAAACCCATATTGTGTTCAGCTACATCTGCTGAGGATAACGATATTGTATGCCTTTGACACTATTCTGTGAATCTTCAATGCCATATAAGAAACAAGGCTATTTCAGTTTCTATAGTTAGAATTTTCATTTATGGATTTGACGGGCCTATGTCTCATTTTGGGATATTATAGCAGTTTGTCTGTTCAAATAACCCCACAAAGGGCTTTCATTTGATAAAGCAGACACCCCAGGGTATCTTATATGGCGTATATTGTGGCTTAACTTGTCACCATTATTCAACCAATTTATGCCAATGTTTGTAATGAGGGTAAAAAAATTGCATTTTTACATACATGTTGCATTTTTGCGGAGTATTTCTTACACTTGATATGTGCCATTGTCATAAAATCCCCCAAATTATGCTCTGGTACATCTTCTGAGTAAAACAATTTGCCCAATGTATGACCTAGACCAGTGATGGCGAACCTATGGCACGCGTGCCACAGGTGGCACGCCGAGCCCCCTCTGTGGGCACGCGGCTATAGGTCGCCGGAGGGAGGGAGGGTGTGCTCCGCCGGCGCATCCATAAGGCGGCACAAGTGGCCGCCTTAGGGCGCACCGGCCTGGCGGGCGCAAAGCCGCAGTGACCGGCAGGAGGTGAGCGCACAGCGCTCCCTCCTGCCAGGCACTCTGTGTAGCGTGGCCGAGCGCACCGCGGTACAGGAACTTATGTTTCCTGTACCCGGGCGGACGGAAATGAAGTGCTCACAGAGAGAGCACTTCCTGTCCGCCGGGTACAGGAAACTGAGCTCCGCGGTGCGCTCGGCCACACTACAAGGTAGGAGCTCAAGGAAGGGGGGAATGAAACTGAGGGAGAGATATGGGTGGGGGACTGAGAGGGGAGATATGGGGGGAACTGAGTGGGAGAGGAGAGATATTGGGGCTGACTGAGTGGGAGAGATATGGGGGAACTGAGGGAGGGACAGGGGGAGAGGGGGGACGACACACAAAAACACATCACCCCACACACACAAACACATACACTGTACCCCTCAATGCAGTGTGTGTACACGCAGCAGTCTGTGTGTGTGTGTACTCGGCAGTCTGTGTGTGGGTATTTAGCAGACTGTGTACGTATTCAGCAGTCTGCTAAATACAGACAGACTGCTAAATACACCCACAGAGATGTTAATTAGTTCGGACAACTGTATGAGTTGTTTTTTCTAAACCTCAGTATAAAGGTTTAATTGCCGTTTTGGCACTTTGAGGGAAAAAAAATTGGCATGTATTACAGTTTGGGCACTCTGGCTCAAAAAGGTTCGCCATCACTGACCTAGACACTATTTTATGAAGTTACAATGCTGTAAAAGAGATGTGACAAGTTCAGGTTTGTAAGTGTGAATTTTAATGGATGGTTTTGATGCATCCGTGTCCTACTTTGGAGCACTTTAGCAGGCTACATAATCCAACTACAACATAAAGGCATACCATTTCTTAAAGAACACATCCCAGGGTATTTCAAAAGGCATATTTTGAACTTTAGCGTGGGATAATTTTTCCACTAACTTGTACCAAGTGTAGTGGTAATATGCATTTTTTCTGCATCTTTGACACACAAAGTGAGTTTGCACAGTATATTTTGCAAAACTTATGTGTGCAATGACTGTATAATACTTCATATGTTGCTCAGCTATTTCGTCTGAGTACAGCAATACCCCCGTATGTACCTTTGCCAGGTATATACGGACATTGAAGGGGCACATTTGAGACACAGCCATTCCAGTTTTGTTTTCAAACTTTGAATTTGTCCGCTGTATCCATGTCCCATTTTTGAGTATTTTAGCAGGCTATATATTCTAACTACACCATAAAGGCATACCATTTCTTAAAGAAAACATCCCAGGGTATTTTAAAAGACATATTTTGAACCTTGGCGTAGGATCATTTTTCTGCTGGCTTGTACCATGTGTAGTGGTAATAAGCCTTTTTCTGCCTTTTTTGACACACAAATTGAGTCTGCACAGTATATTTTGAAAAACTTATGTGTGCTACGGCTGTATAATATTTCATCTGTTGCTCAGCTATGTCGTCTAAGTACAACAATACCCCCGTATGTACCTTTGCTGGGTAGATGTGGATGGTGAAGGGGCACATTTGAGACGCAGCCATTTTTTTTTTTTTCCTAACTTTGAACTTTTACACTGTGTCCATGTTCCATTTTGGAGTAGTTTAGCTGGTTTGTTATTAAAACTACTCCACAAACGCATACCATTTTTAAAAGAATACACCCTGGGGTATTTTAAAAGGCATACTTTGAACCCTAGCGTGGGATCATTTTTCCACTGGTTTGTTCCAGGTGTAGTGGTAATGAGCATTTTTGAATGTATTTTTTTTTTACTCTTAGACTTTTTAAAAAAAACTTTACCGTTAACCCCTAACTTGCAGTAAACAGCACTAACAGTAAATTCCCCAATTTCTCATAACTCCCACCTACCCCAGCTAGCAAAATATATCATTTTAAAATATTTAAATAATTAATTAAATAAATCGAACCCCCGAGGGTTAAGAAATAAATAAATTAATCCTCAGGTGTTAAAAAAAATTACAGTATCAGATTACGGAGATTTGGGATTTAACTTAAACTTTATTTTTTTACAGGGAGAAGCAGATCATCACTGATCTATATCCCTGCACTTCACACTGACTGCGGAAGAGCAGCGAGGCGGATCAGAGGTCCCTGCAGCACATGTGCTCGCTCTGACAGGCTGTCAGAGTGATCACAGCTGCAGGGACAGTGCGATCGGGTGCTCCTGGTCTGCCTTGAATACAGAGGCAAACCGGAGGAGCGTTAACCCTGCGATTGCTGCGAACTTTAGTAAATGACGGAAATTTGCCATCAAGGGTCCTTAATGCAAGGGGGCAAGCTTGACGGATGAAATTCCGTCTTTGGTCAGGAAGGGGTAAAAACCCTTTGTTTGTTCCTCGGCTTTGTAAGGAACACTGATAATTTTAATATTAAGCATATATCTTTAAGGGGAACTGCTACTCCCTATAATTAGGTTTAATATTCAAGAAAGATGTATTTGAGTTGTGAGAAAAAAAGAAAAAAAAAAAAAAGGAAATGCATCTTGGCCCCCTGTAAATTATTCTGTCCATTGCTGTCTGTGTAGAGAGAAGAGACGCAATGACAGTGTTTCTATTCCTCCTGTTCCCTGGCAATGTTTGCACTGGATTATGTTGTAATTTGCTAAACCTTTAAAATTGTTTTAAAATAAATTGGAGCATTTCATGAAAAAAAAATTCACAAGTTTATAGGTGTTTTAAATTATTGATTCAGTGGCTCGTATTCCAGAGAAGTACCGTAACTTTTTAAATAACGATTTTATTTGTGGAGCTTGCAATAATTTCTAATCTCAATGATTCAGTTTGCTGTTCCTGGTAAAATTGGAGTTAGGGTGCCATCTGCTGGCTAATTTGATTAGTGGTTTGCATCTGAATAACTGTAACAAAGATGCTCAGGTCTGCATTCTGATTTTGATGTTCAGAATGGTAGAATGTTTACTGGATGGTTTTTTTGTTTTGTTTTGTTAATCTGACACATCTACTGCATTCACTTGTTAAAATATAAAGTATTTATGAAAACAATTTGAGCTATTTTCATCCCAGGAGTTAATGTTCTTTTTAATGCTTTATGACTATTTGGGGACTGTCAATTTGCCGGAATAACAAAACTAATATTTGAATCTGGCCATTAAAGTTCACATTTGACATAATTGTCACACTAGGTGTTGGGATATATATGGTCATTTTAGAAGAATTTTGAATCTTTTCCCATGGTAAAAATCAGCTTGCCAAAGGGGATGAAATGTGAGAGAGAAAAACCCACTATGTGTCAGTTAATACATCAAACTAATAATTCTGTGCCACATCTAATTTTCTATGTTTCATACAGTATTTCTACTTTGTTCTAAAATGTTCCATATTTGATCTTTCAGGTTCCAGTTGCCTGTAAGTCGTGCCCTTGTGGATATATATTTATAAGCCGAAAACTTTTACATGCAAGACAGTCAGAAAGACTGCCACAAACCTCAGGTAAGTGCACCTTATTCACAGAACCATTGCTGCCTCTTATTTCGGAAGCTTCAAATAACAACAGGTTTCTGTTACACAAATCAGTTCTATGTAAAGAGCCTGAATATTATTAGATTTAGTCACTGCATTGGGTATTGGAGAAAATTGCAAATTTTAGGCCAAATTAGCAGAATTGGAGAAAATCTCCACTTTTCCAAAACACTTAATTCGGACTACCACTTACAGGTCCTCTGTCAATTCTCCACAATTTGAATAGTTTTTTGTACCTGATACTATATCACTGACCACTCTTGGGCTCTACATGTTGTGCTATCAGGCACCAGATTTCGACGAATTCTTACAACGCTGCTGTTAAGGACGTCAGGCGTGAATCCACAGTTCCGTGCAGCCGTAACAAAAACGTCAATCAATTTAACATTTTAGTTGGGAGAAACTATTTAATAGTAACAGTTTTAAGGAAATACAGTAGAAGGAGCAAGGGCTGAGCAGTTGAGGAGGAAAAAAATATGTTTTTAGGGTCAAGAGATGGAGACAGAATGCTTATAAAATCTCACTTGTTTGAACAGAAAACAGATCTGACCCCAAACGGCGTAGAACTGAGAGAATTAAAAGAGAGAGAATAAATGCAACCGTAAATAAGGAGCTGGAAAACCGGAAACGATCGAGATCCAGATCCAACAGCCAGAGTGAGGCAGCACGACGAGGCCGAGGGAGGCCCAAAGCCACGTCTACCAAGAAGCAAGAGGAGGAAAAGGGTAGAGGTTTAAATCATTTCATGCCTGGCAAGTAAAGAATGGCTTTATAACGTAAATTAGATATGTGGGCTAGAAATGATCGGATCAAAGGCTCATTGGCCATGTTTTAGAACGTCTGCAGGAAATGCCAAGAAAAAACCTAAATCATATAAGACCTAAGAAAATCAAACAAGCCTTTAGGAGGGATAGTCATATTTAATTTGTGCCAATTGAGCAGGAATGTAAATGTGAAACTGTTAGAGAGGTACCGCAGATATATTTTACAGAGTGTTGGTTGCAAGGTAATAAGATTACAAGCAAAAGAGATGGGCTTTATGTGCTAGACATATCACTTCCTCGTTATCCCTAGAAATTTAGGATGGCATTAGCACAAATTACAAACATGGGGTGTTGGTACTAGGCAATAGCTGGGTTCGGTAACCTAGAAAATACAGATAATTACACTGTCTTGTTTTTACATTATGTGCTAATGGAAAGGGGTTTCACTGCTAAAGCCCCTGCATTTTTCCTTGAAAGCTAATAAATAAGTTGGAGTGTCCCTTTAATTATCAGCAAACTTCACTTGCTTTAGTATAGTGTGCTAGTGTGCTTTAGTATAGTGTGCTAATTTTGGGATTACACCAGAGTGTGAAGCAATTTTGAAAACAATTTAGCACCCAGGTTATATCTGTTCGTATTGCTTTAGTATAGTGATACATTTAAAAAAAACACTAACAGCCTACATTTTATACATTTGCAACATTTGTCTTTTTTTTCTTGTTAAATGCAGAAAAGCAAGAGAAGGAGATCGATATGTACGCCAACCTATCCGATGAAAAGGCGTTTGTGTTTTCTGTGGCTCTTGCAGAAATCAACAGGAAAATTATCAATCAAAGGCTTATACTTTGACCAAGGTCGGGGTCAAGGTTACTCATGGGCTGTATCAGCAATGCGCAGCAATCAAAGACTCTGCTATTCCGTGCGTTCACTGAGAATCTGATCCTGCACTAAAGACTGTCTGTTTTTGTTATTTCTATTTAATTATTTTATTTTTTATTTTTTTACCAAGCGTGGTAGCAATACTATAATCTTTTAGGCCCAAGGAAGCTTTTATGTAAAAAAAAAACAAAAAAAAACATAAAACCCCAAACATGATTTTAATCCTTTTTAGAAGAGGAATTCATTCTGGGAACTAGCCAGAGTATGTGTATTTAAAGCGCTTCAAAACAAAAAAAGTATAAAATATCGCTTTTTCTTTTTTTTTTTAATTAAGAGGAAATAAAATTTAGCTCTGACACATGTACAGTTTATATAATCTTTATATATTAAACCGGTGCTAAAATCCAAGAGTTTAAATGAATCCTTTATTGCGGAATCTCTCTCTCTTACCATTTACTGCTATGGTTCACAAATGTTTGTAGAATTTAGGAGACAGACTTAATAGTTTAGGAGTTAAATAGAGAATTTTTCCACATTGGTTACTTTTGTGTAAAATTAGCAATTCACATTTCATCCAAAATCTTTTCAGGAGCTGTAGCTCCGTGGCTCCTGCAGTTTGTCATCATTTATTTGTTTTGTAGCAGGGACGTCTGGGAGCAGTGGATACTATTTTCGACTTGGCTTGGTGACCTTGTGTTTGACAAGCTCAAAAAAGGAGACAGAGACATGAAAACTATTTTAGGTAGAGGTTTTCCAGAATGTGCTAAGTGATACGGATTTTGTAGCATAGTTAAAATGATCCTGTCGCCGACAAAATAGTTTTATTGGCTTAATATGCACACTCAAAGATTTGTTTTTGGTAATAACACCCATGCAATGTAGCTTAAAGGGTTACTCCAACCATCATAACAATTGCAGCCTCTTGTGGTTATGGTGGTGGCAATACCCTGGCGGCAATGGTTTGCCCTCCTAGCTGGTACTTTTGGACGCTAGGTCTCTTCTGAAGCAGGGTTTATGACATTTGGCTTCTACAGAGCTGCTGGATGCCTATCCTTCTGCTAATTCACGAGTGCCTGTGCATCTAAATTTGCTCAGAATTGACATCAGCCAGGACGAAACTCTTGTTCCGGGCTGGTTGATGACGCCGATAATGCTGCCAGAGGTGAAGTTACAACTCCAGCAGCAAAAGGGTTAAACTTGATATAGTGAAACGCTGCACATACAGTCTCCCGGCATCGTGACCACTTTAAATCACTGAAGTGGTCATGTTGTCTAGCGTAACCTTTTAACCCCTCCTGTCCCTCATGGCCAAAAACAGAATCTGGCTGCCTACTTTACTGTAGAAACCCTGCTTATTTTTTTTTTCTCAAGATATATAATGAATAGAAAAATGTATCCTGTTCATTTGTGCATCGTGTGTACATATGCATAATCTTCTTTAAAGGAACACTCCGAGCACCATAACCACTAGAGTGGAGTGCCCTGGTGCTCGCTCATTGCAAGCAGATACACGGTTTTAGAACAGTTTGACTTGCCTGTTGTCCTCTGGCATCCCGTCTCACTGTCTTTAGGGAGCAGCGCAAGGCAGACCCCTAGTAAGACCCCAAACCATCCGCAAATGTTTGCCTTGCATACATGCTATTACAGTGAACTGCAATAGTTATGGTGCTTGGAGTGTTCCTTCCGTAAAACTAAAAACTGATGGGAAATGTTTGTGCATAGAAACAAGAGCTGCTGAATGAACATTTACTTTATTTCATCATTGAAGGGGTGTGTATGTGTGTGATGTGAAACAAACAAATCGCTTTGAAAATTCAGGGTTACAACCAAAGTGAGAATACAAAGTGAATTTTAAATTTACAGCCATTCAGAGCTATTAGTTTACTATTTATTTATGAATTAATAATGAGTTAAGTACCATAACTACTACAGTTTATCATAGGGGCAATAACGCAATGTGCCCGTTAGGTTTGTGCAAAACGGTTTTCTATCCCTGTCAATCAGAGCCCGCCCCTTGCTACCTTGTCATTCTAGGGAAATATTGCTTCCTAATCGTTAATCTAAGTTCTTGTACAGTTTAACCCCTTGGTATAGGCCAATTTGCCTCCTCCTATATATAATCCATACAGTTATCTCCATATTGTCGGTGAGTTGTTTCTGAAAGCTTTAGCTATTCTATAAGGAGGTCACTTGTGAATTGCTTTTATCTACTCCTATCCTATAAGTTTACAGGTGATGCATGCTTATGTTGTATTTTTTTTTTTTCAGGAACACAAACATCTTGTCCCCCTTAATATAGTAAAATCTTACTTTTATTCAAGTCTGCAGCTGCTGGCTCTGCCCATGATCTGCCTGCTTGGCTGACATCATCAGAAGTGATTCTCTGAGCCAATCACACTGCTTTCCCATAGGATTGGCTGAGACTGTCAAGGAGGCAGATCAGGGGCAGAGCCAGCACAAGCCAATCAACATCTCCTCATATAGATGAATTTAATTAATGCATCTCTATGAGGAAAGTTCAGTGTCTGCATGCAGAAGGTGGAGACATTGAATGTCAGTCACATTCTGCAGTACTGCCCCAGGAAGCACCTCTAACAGCCATCTGAGGAGTGGCCAGTGGAGTTATCCCTAGGCTGTAATATAAACACTGCATTTTCTGAAGGGAATGATTCTACTCACCAGAACAAATTCAATAAGCTGTAGTTGTTCTGGTGACTATAGTGTCCCTTCAACCATATCACACTCTGTTGTGAGTTTTTATTTTTTTATTTTATTTAATTTATTTTCAGATACATTAATATCCACCTTTGTCAGAGCTATAGGTTATATCCCAGCTACCTGTAAGTTATATAAGAACACCCCCTTTGACAAGAAGAGGGCTAGATTGGTTTGTTTTCCACATCATGTTCCCAGAATTGTAAATTGAAGAACTCCCTCTCACATTATTAGATTCAATCTTTGAAATCTGCTCTTACATGAGGGAGACTGTCTCAAATCACCCAAGATCCAATTTTCAGAGCAAAGTCTGACTAGGATGAGAAACACTTCAGAGATAAAGTATTGCCATCTAAATTTGACACATTATCTAGAACATTTTAATCATAGCAAACAGACTGATGTAACAGTTAAATAAAATACAGACAACTGTATGGCCTATTATTTAAAAAATTATATATATGTGTGCATTTGCTCTATACCTAAACTGTAATTCCTATTCAAAGGGGAAAAACACCTTTAAAAAATAAATAAAAGCTATTATGTTGCAATTTTCATTCTATTCATTTGAGAGATTTGGAATAAATATTTATTAAAAAAAATAAAATATAAATATCTCCAATAATCACACATTTTATACATTTTCTGCACCAAATCCACTGGGAACACCAGTAAAATGCGATCATTGTCACCTTGATGAAATGATTGCTTCCTTTCTGCCAGGCTGGGATGCATTAGAGCCTACATTAAATAATTCTATGTACATTACTTCCAAAAGTCAGAAAGTGATGAACTGTTCCTCAAGGGAAAACATTTGCCGTTTTGAAGGCTGAAATGATTTCATGGTGAATAATAAGTGAGCTATTCCAGAGCAATGTTCTGAATGCCTTTATTGCAAGTGGGGATTGCAGGGTTTGCATTGTAACAAGGAGCTGAAATCTAATTTGTCTTCCCTCAATGCATAAATGTAACTCCAGTGACGCAGATTACATTTTAATATAACACATTTCTTTAGTGAACCCCTGTATTGGAACATTAGCACAATATTAATGCCAATCCATCCTGTGTCTGTAGCTGAAAATCAAATCACTGAAGGGATTTAAACTTTTTTTTTAAAATTATTATTAATATATAACCGCGGAATTTTTATTTTTTTAATAATTATTTTTGCAAGTGAAGCATTATGACACATTAGTTGAAAGGTTTACATGCTTGGTTCGTGGTGGTTACATTATCTTAACATTGTAGGCTTGTTATGATCATCTATATTTTTGTTATATTAGACTAGGTCCTATGCAATAGAAACCATGTCTCGCACAACAGATTTTTTACATCAACTTGTCATCTGGTAAACCGGGCTCATGAGTGACTCGTTGTCAGATATAAGTGGCCCGTTGGGTTGTCATAGGGTCTTAACCATGTAGTTGCAAAAACATACTATAAACCATATGATAAGAAAAACAGTAAGGTAGGAACTTATACATAGTATTTCAACATACTGGTCTAAAGACACTGTGCTTTGTCAAGGCACTTGGATGCACCCTGGTTTGTGGAGGTCATGCGAAGCCCCTAGTTGGTAGGGGGTGGGGAGAGAGATAAATGGCTAGCCGTCAGTAGGACTGATAGAACCTTCACTTATGTTTGTCATATTTTAAGCACAGACTTTCTCTGGAAATTCGAACTGGTTAAGAATACAGTTAGTATAGAGGGGGAGTTTAGGAGAGAAGAGATGGAGGAGGAGCAAGAGACAAACAGTGGTGTCTTGGCCTGCTTTGCTGGGAGTAGTAAAGTCAACAGTCGTCTTATGAAGTGCGGTAGCTCTTCCGTAGTCACTGTGTCCGAGACACCTCTGATCTTTAGGTTTTTCTTGCAGGATCTTTCATTCAGGGCATCTACTCTCAGCGTTCGGGCAGAGTGGTGCGCCTGTAGCTGCTTGACCAGGACTCCCACTGCTGTGAGGTTGTGTTGCAAGTTGGCTTCTGAGGTCTGAAAGTGGGTGGCTACAAACAGCTGTTGTATTTTTACAAAAATTATCAATGTATTATTTTGTTGCAGGTACCATGCTGGCTGGGGTATTGTGGCTTGGTGCTCAGCTGTGGATGGCCCCGGGGTGTCCTCACTCACCTCTCCCTTCTCCTGAATGTTGTGGGCTTCGGTCTCGGCCTGCTCCAGCTCCCTGTGCTTGGGTGTGCGTTGGAGCAACGTGCCAATATCCTGCACCTATGTGTGCACCTGATATTTTTGGGTCTTCTTACCCATCTCCTCCGGCTCTTGGGACAGTGCCTGCTGGGAATCAGGTGTAAGCCAGTCCTGGTCCCACCAGGGTGCGAAGGCATTCATCGTGCTTTTCATGCTGGCCCTGTGGCAGGCTTTAGTAGACCGGTGTTTGTTTTTAGTGCCCGGCTGCTGAAAAAAAACGGCATCGGCGTGTGCCTTTCCGCCTCCTGCAGTCGGTTCCAGTCCGCAAGTAAGTCGATACTTGACAAATGTGAAAATAGCTTAGATTTCTATGTGGGATTGGCGGAGCTCCAGAAATGGCGTCTGTGCTGGACTGCTGCTAAGCCCCGCCCCCCATAAACACAAAATTTATATGAAAACACATCCTAAACAGTGAGAAGAGATAAATAACACATAACATGCACTAACAAATGTATTAAAATGGTAGCATCAACATTGCTACAATGTTTTGTAATTGCTTTAGTGCAAAGACCCTTTGGGTGCAGTTCGGTTCTGGGGTTTTTTGTGACAGTTTTTCAGTTTCACAAAAAAAAGAAAAACCTTGGTCTCCCCAACACAGAAATCCCCTCTCTGCTTGGGACATACTACAAGGAAGTCTACCCTGTAAATCCAAAATATTTGTATAGGTAAGTGAGATAAGAGTGCACCAAACTGCTATCAACCATTTCTGCTTATGATAGATACTACTCTTAATACACTTTATTTTTAGGATTATTTTATATCCAATATATAGTATCTATTTATACTCTTCTGCTTATTCAGTTACTTATGTCCCAATATGCTAGGAATTGAGTACATGGCAGTTAACATTATAGATACTTTTTTGATACAATTTACTGATTGAATTATTTTCAATAGATCCAACATATAGTATCTATTTATACTTTTCTGCTTACTCAGCTTCTAATGTTCCAATATGTTAGCAATTTAGTATATCTTATATAGTGATGTCGCGAACCGTTCGCGGCGTACTCCGGTCAGCTGACACATCCGGCCAATCTCCAGCAGACCCTCCCTCCCAGACCCTTCCACCTCCTGGACAGCATCCATGTTGAAGGCAGCTTCAACATGGATGCTGTCCAGGAGGTGGGAGGGCCTGGGAGGGAGGGTCTGCTGGAGATTGGCCGGATGTGTCAGCTGACTGGGGTTCGCGGCGAGCCGTTCGCGACATCACTAATCTTATATAATGCCACAGCTTGAGACTTACTAGTTAAAAGCAAGTCCTTAATGTCTCATATATTCTTTGGATATATTGATACCAGCCTGCAGTCACAGATATTGACCTATGAAGCATTATATATTAAAGTCTAAACCTGTGTACTGCAGTATCTACTTTTAGAGACATTAGGAAGGGAGTTTTTTGCCATTAGGCCGTTATTTTCTACTTTCACCTGACCCATTTTTCTATTATTGTATTTCCTCATTGTATATAGCTCTATATCTCACTTTGTATAGAATCATTATTATTTATTATTCCAGTGGATACTCAGGTACTAGTTATTTTCAGTATCTTATAGTTCTCCTAATCAGGGGTTATGCCCCAAGACACAACTGGAGTGTCTTATAAGGTGTGACCATCTACAGGCTAAGTGGTCTAGTCTATTTTTTAGACAGCCATTGCCTGTAGACGGCTTTCTTTTTTCTTGTTTGGTTGCTACTGAACTCACCCTGGCTCCCAACCAACACAATTAGTTGTAGTAGTCATGGTGTTTCTTGTGTCCATTTGAAAATATTTTATCATTTCATTTAACTTTAAAAGGTTCTCTATGCACCAAAACCACTACAGCGTGCTACTGTGTTTTTGGCACTTAAAATGCCACTGCCACTTTCTAGTTTGATGTCCTTTTTAAAGCTTAGATGTCTGGTTGTTTTTTTTTATTTATTTTTTATTTTTTTTAATTCAAAAGGTCTGTTTGTGAAACTCACTTCTCACAAATTAAGTCACCAGTAGCCAATTATTAAAGCAAAATGATATGGTAATTCCAAACTGCTCTACTAGATGGCGCTGTTTTGCCAGCAAATGTTGCTCACCTCATTGTACAGTTCCTATTCGCTACTGCGTGCTGTTAGCTGCCTGTGTTAAATGGAATGCAAGATGGAAACAATTTCACTTGACATTTGTTGTTGGTTTCAGATTCTGTGTGCTGTATTGTTATTTTAGTGTTCGTCCACACTTCTAATTTCGACGTGCGGTGTCTATATCTCAGGATAATAATACAGGACATTAGAATGTAGATGAGTGTGTGTGTGTGTGTATAGGGCAAGTCTAAAAACAATTGATATTAAAATAAAAACATAGCTAAAAATATTAATTTGCAAGAAATATTCATATGATCATTTAAAGTTGCGTAGTCACCTCCAATCCCCAAAAATTAGTATTTCATAAAGATAAAATCTTTCAAAAATGCTCACATTGACTGTGTTCTTTCAATGAAATTCCAATGCAGTTACAACATATTCTAAACTCCCGTGATGCAAATAAATATATTTAGTAAATTGCACAGACCGTACATCCTATAGAGATAAAGACACGCTCATTCACGCATGTACAAAATAGGCAATTCGCATGTAGTGGTCAAGCAGGATCCAATGGATACATCCGCTCTACTTGTTTCGCAAAGACGTCTTCAGGAATAAAACGCATAAAAGTGTAAAATGTCTGTGTAATAAAACACCAGGAAATTAAGCAAATTATAAGGACATTTCATACTATATCTGTATTATATATATTCTCTCTTCCCTGTGATACCAGCCTGGAAATGAAGATCTGCATGCTTACTAGTGAGATAATGTGACAGGCGCTCATATGAAGAAATTCCTGTGAGTGTATTTTTACGTTTGCTTATATAATATATATTTTTTTTAATGTTTCACTTGGTGGTATTGTAATATTGTCTCAGAAGAGATCAATGGAAACAAGGAGCCTTGCATCTAGGGAGTATCAGTTAACTTTCAGTGCTCTTTTTCAAACCTCACTTTTCTCATTACACGTCTGCTAAAGTTGGTCTTCTCATTTCTCCTAAATGAGTCATGCGCGTATACTATAAACACCTTTGAGTACGTGTTAACGGGATATGTAGTTCAGCAGTCACAAGTTGTTTCATCCATGAAAAGACATAAATGAAAATACTTAGCAAACTAAACCACGGCAAAACGTTTTAGCTTGATAGCATTGTCATCTATGTGCATAAATGACATTACTAGTGGACACGCGTGCACAGGTCTGCAGACAGGCTCTCATAGAAATGAACATAACTTATGATTATGAAAAAGAAAAATAGTGCGTAGGCACTTCACTGGAATTATGACAGTTGGTATATAATAAATGGTGTAACCAGTACCCTAGTGCTTCCCTTATGCACCAGATATAAGTAATACAATTAAAGAGACATGTACCAGTAAATACACCTCCCCAGTGTGGTCACAAAAAAATGGGTAATATTACCAGTACAAAGCTTGATAGTATTGCAACAGAGCGTAGAGTTCAATTGGAAATATACACTAAAACAAGAAAAAGATAAAAAAACAGCATAGTGCAAACTGTATAGTGACTAATGAATAGATGAATGTATGACTCTCACTCACATTATCCAGAGCCGTCCCAGGCACTGTAAATCAGGCACCCTTGAGCCTGATTTACAGAGCTTGGGATGGCTCTGGATAATGTGAGTGAGAATCATACATTCATCTATTATTCATTAGTCACTATACAGTTTGCACTATGCTGGTTTTTTTAATCTTTTTCTTGTTTTAGTGTATATTTCCAATTGAACTCTACGCTCTGTTGCAATACTATCAAGCTTTGTACTGGAAATATTACCCATTTTTTTGTGACCACACTGGGGAGGTGTATTTACTAGTACATGTCTCTTTAATTGTATAACTTATGATTAGTACAATGTGTGCTGTACAAGAATTTGTACAGTCAGGGCAGCTTAGCTTCCACCGTGACGTCACACAGCTTGGGGAGTTGACACATAGCTGTAGTAAGTTTTGCAATGAAAAACTGAGCTAATGAACATGCTGTAGGGGTCTCCTTTCCAAGAAGCCACGGTGTTTATGGTGCAAGTTAATGCTTCTTGGTCCACATGTAGGCCAGGGGTTTTGGATTACCCAGTCTTAGCACAGGTAGGTCTGCCTATACAACTATTCAACTCACCTAAGTAGGTATCTACAGAAATGCACGCCTCAAGGACTGAATCTAAGCTCAGCTCAGGTAAGATGGGGTTTCCAAGGAGACAGACCGTTTATAAGATGTGCAGTTTGAAAGTACATTGTCCACACAGAATGAACTGGATAGAATACACTGTTTTCCATTAAAAGTATCAACGTCAAAGCAAAGTCTGTCCGTTAATAATTTGAATAGTCTGTAATGAAATAATACATTTGTTTTTTTTAACTCTGTCTATTTTTGTACCTACGGACTGTCCTTTTCTTTGGATGAAGCTCGCTGACAATGACCTTTAATATTAATCTGTGTTCAGAGCAGCCAGCACTTGCACCTCAATGGGGGCCAGAGGGTGGGCTCTTTCAGTCCTCTCGTAAGATGGTTTTAAAATGATGGCCAGTTTGGAACCTGTGGGACCTGCTGTAAACACCCTGTACTGGAACCCTCTTTCCAAAACTGGTGATTTATGTTTGCTCAGAATTCTAGAATACTGCATCGCTGGTACCCTGGATCAAATGTAAGCAAACAGTGTGCTGCTCATAACTTAAAAGCTCAAACCATGATTTAATGAAATTGTGAAGATTTCAATAAAAAAAACAAAAAAAATTCCAATTATGACAATTTTGGGACAAACTTTTTTTAAAAATGATTTTATAATTTTTGCTAAACCTTTAAATTGATAATTGATTTAATATTTTGAAATTTTTCTGATGCCCAAAGACATTGGGGAGAATTGGCAAAGAGAAGCAAAGTTTGAAAAATGATCCAAATGTTGCTATTTTGCCCTGAAAATTGCAATTTCCTTGTCAATTTTCTACAATTCCCAGCTTGGTGAATTAAATGATCAAACTCCATGTTTTAAATTTGTTATTTTTAAGCTGGGGGAGGTTCTGTTTAGCGGATCTGCCCCAAATAGATTAGGTGCTGCAGAAATTCTTATTGCAAAGATTGTTGCTAGCTGTTATGTTTTAAAGCTGTACCCACTAACATGGATTTATTTTATCTCCAAACAGATTAAAGCTGGGGCTGCATAATATATTTCTATCATAAATCAGCATTTGTCAGACTTTATCTAATCAAATAAAACTAGTGATGGAACGCTCGTCTTCACCCAGATAAATATTCTTCACGCCAGTGTTTTAGTAAACCCCTAACGTCAAGCTCTCGTTTACAGCTAAATATAGACAAAAAATGATTTGGAAACAAATCTTCAAACATTTAGTCATATATTGGCCATTTTACCTAAAATTTAAAAATGTGCTATTTGATTTTTAATGGGCTTTAGGTTGGTGTTTAGTAAATAAACTGCACAGTACATTGTAGATTCATGTGACATATCCCGGTGTTGATAAGGAATCCTGTGAGTGCTTAGTGGTTTGGAGTGGCCATGCTGTTCTGTCTATTATCTAGTTTGAAATGGCTTCAGATAATATCAGAGCATCGCTGGGTGTGCTGTGCTAAGCATCGATTTACTTTACTAATGCTTGGTAAATACTTACCAATTGATCTACCGATTGCATCACTAAATGGTAAGACATATTTTGTATATGATACCCCCCAATAAATGTAGCAAATAATAGTCAGGACTGTGTGAATGGTTGTAGAGCTGGATTTGAAAGCAGGTAGGCAAGACCGCTGCCTATTTACGAGGGGCTCCATTCCTGATTACGAATGTGCATGTTTTCCATTTTTAGATGTACTGTGATATGCTCCATTCATTTCCCTAAACCTTAATTAGGGAGGTAGAGTGAGAAGTTGTTCCTGGGTCTCTTGCAAATTATAGTGTAAGAAATAGGGACGTAGGGGGCAGGACCTGACCGCCATGCTGACTAGTCTCACTACAGAGCAGGTCCTGAGCGTTTTGATTTTTTAGCTGAAATTATAGCAAATAATGCTACCATCCATGAGTGAATTGCAGCCTGCCCAGGCAGAGAGTGGGGTGAACAGCTGTCACCCTACTCTACTATCTCACTG